GTTTGTGCTCCTGCCTAATAATTAGCAGACATAAGTTTGCCTCAGGTGGAAGGCTGGAGGTGTGGCTGAGGGAAAGAGAAGAACAGTGGAACAGCAGATATCCATAATTTCAGCTCAAAAGGGAGAACCAAACCTCCTGAAAATAGCAGGAGCTGCAGCAGCTGCTGATCCAGGCAAGGAAGCAAATATTGCACAGACTTTGCAGGTCAGATAATGCTTCCCTCAGTGTCCGTCGTCCCTGCGGGCTCCACTAGCCAAACTTCTGGTTGTTCCCTGCCTGCCTGAGGGGAGACTGTGAGGAGGAGGAAGATGATGATGATGATCATCATCAGCAGCAGCAGCAGCAGCAGCATCTCCTGCTTGGAACCAAAATTGAAATGCATAGAAAAACTTCCAAAAGCTGCTTGTTTCTTTTTCATTACTCTCCTGTTATGCTTCTAGTAGCTAAGAGCGTAAAGTGCCTTAAGGGTACAAAAAGAAACATTTAACTCCATGATGCAGGAATGGAAAGAAAACAAAGTCATGGCGCAACGGGATGCTTTGTGCTGCTCACTGGGCCTTCCAGAATTGCGCTCTAAACCTCCCGCCACAGAGAGGTGCCAGCGGTTCCCTTCTTTTGGCCTCTCTGCCCAAGGAGAGAGGGTGGCAGCCAAGCTGTCCTGGCAGCAGAGCAGCCGCTCGAGAGGGCAGGGAGGGAGGCCTGTCTAACAGTGGGGCCAAAAGCCAGGCTGCCCTGCCTTTGCCTCATGCAAAGAGAAGGCTTCTCTTTGGGTAAAAGGCACATTTCTTCTGAAAGTGGACTATAAACCTAAGAGTAAAGCCTTATTACAGAGTGTCCGTTCCTCCTAACTCTACAAACTCTACAAGATAAAATAAAACAAGAGATAATCCTTAGGATAGACTTGATCAACGCTTCTCGTATTTGAAGAGTTTCTTATTACCAGTCCCTGTGTATTACCTGCTGAGGCTCCCTTCATTTTGTATCCTGCATTCAGTAAAAGTCAAATACATTCCTATGCAGAATTTCACATCCATTCTTTGTGTTGTTTGAATTTTAGATTTAACTCAGACATCTGGAAAAATGGTCTGGCTTCGAAATCAGTTGTTGAGCATGCTGCTGGATGTAATTCAGCCAGATGAACTTCATTTGTCCTCCGAGTAAGTAAGAGTGTATGTGTGCATGCGTGGGTTTGTGTGTATACAATCTTCTTTACAGCGGTTAAAAGTACAATTATAAACTTACCTCTCCTTTGCTTCGGAGGTGCCCGTACCTCAAAATCCACGTCCACCTTGATTTGCTTTCTTTGAGTTACCAGCTGTAGAAGACTGTCTACACAGGGTTAGGGACTTTTACTTATTTCTACCTAAACAAGGTTAAGATTAGGCTGTAACTGTTTTATAGATGGCACCTTGATCCACAAAAAATGTCTTTTATGTACCCTGATCTACAACCTAAATGTTGGAGATGTGGGTGTATGGATGCTACTTATTATCATATTTGGTGGTCGTGTAGAGAGATAAAAGCATTTTGGATTAAGATATGGTGGAATATCCAGAGAATTTTTAAAAGGAGGGTAAAATTTACTCCGCAACTATTTCTGTTGGGTATAGTTACTGATTGTGATACAAAGGAGGTTATATTGATGTTAAATTTGATTACAGCCGCGAGGCTGTTAGTTGGACAATATTGGAAGAAGGAATCTTTGCCTACATTGCAGGAATGGTTTCTTAAAGTGTCTTATTTGGCGGAAATGGCAAAGATTTTGGCTTTCTTAAAGCAACAAACGCAAGAGAAATTTCTTGCTGTTTGGGATAAATGGATAAAATTTATACAGTTTAAAATGGATATTAAAAAATATTATATAGCTTTTTCTTAATTTTTATTTTTATATATATACATATATATTTTAAAGTATAATTTTTTTGATTGTTTTTTAATTAAGCCTATATTCTGCTCTGGGAAGCTCGGGGGGGGGGAGAAGGGGGGGTGTTTGGGGGAGGTTGGGGAAGGGAGGGTTTGTTGTGTAATGTTTAGTTTTTTTTTGTATATGTTTTTTGTCTTTGTATTGTTTTGTTTTTTTCCTTTTCTTTTGTAAAATTTATAAAACTTTTAATAAAAAAAAAAAAAGATTAGGCTGTAACTGTATTTTTGTTATGTTTGGGATACCTAAGGGATTTTAAAGCCACAACAGTAGCTCAGGAGCTAGCAAATGTTTTCAATTTTTGTTGTTCCAGTAAGTCCACCATGTAGTATAGTTACAACAAATAACATTTAAGTATTGTGTCTTTCAATCTGGTGTTTCCCTCACAGGATCCAAGAAAAAATGTTCCAGGCCTTGGGCCCTGACTGGTTCCTGATGTTTATGCAAAGTCATGTAAATGATACCACAGTTGTACTGGCAGCCAAATTGCTTTTCCATTTCTTGCACAACCGTGCACACCTGCATGAGTTCAGAGACGGGATGATGGGGGGCCTGTGGCTGAGAAGCAGCTTAAAGGGGCTGAATATTTTGACTGGTAGGTCCTGAGTGCTTTCAGCTGGCTTGCAGTGTGATGCTGAGGCTAGCTGTGGATCATGACTAATTATTTCAATAACTCTCTCTCTCTCTCTCTCTCTCTCTCTCTGTCTCCCCTCTCCCCTCTCCCCCTCATCTATCATCATGTACCCTCTGTCTGTCACTGCTTGATTTCTATAGAATGTATTAATTATTTTAAGATGTTTTTGCCTTTTGTTTAAAAATAACCCTAAGAAGTTCGAAGGAAAGCTAGCAGCCCAGCCTGGATGCCAAGGAATTGGTGACTGTGTACCAATATCACTTTCACTGTGTCCTCTTTGGGCCTGATCTTTCATGCTTCAAGTTTGACCTTCTTAACTTGCTTTTGGTGTCTTATTTGCTGACCAATACAATTAAATTCTGGTTATTTGGTTGAAAAAAATCTTCAGTCCACATTAAGACATTGTTTTATTTCAGGTATTAATGGAGACTGAAATGAAAGCAGGAAAGTTTAGACCAGCGACAGTCCACATGGAAAGAGAAGAGAATGGAGCTGGGTCTTGGGGAGAGCATCCATTTAGTTCATGCAAAGGCTTCTAGCCTGGCTGCAACAGCCCCCCTCCCCCCAATAGCGAGCTTCTGTCACTCAGAGCAGCCTATGAGGATCACAAAGAAGGAGATCCTGGGGAATCTAGTCTCGGTGCTGTCACCATGTAGAAGCTTCTCTGCTGAGACCATCCACGACAGATGGCTGTATTGTGTAGCTTTTCCTTGGGTAAATAAGATCAGTTTAGTTCCTTCCTGTGGACTTGTTCTTCTTTTATCCAGTAGGTCAGTTCAGAGAGAGCCTGAGGAAAAGTTTCTTGTTCTTTGTTTTAGACAATTTGAAGAGTTCTCCCCAGTTATTTGAGTATCATCCATATCCGCTCTCTGGATTAATGGAGCTGAAGATGTTCCTGAGCTACTCACTCCACATTCCGGAGATTTACCTCCTTCTCTCAGGACTTCTTCTGGACACACCACTGTCCAAGCCACCAGATGAAACCCAAGTAAGCCACTGCACTGACACAGTAAAGCACGGGGAAAGGTTTGTAGCAGCCGAAACGGTTTATTAGACGAAGCGAAAGGACAGAAACTTCAACCACGAGCAGGCCCTAGGAAGGGAACCTTCACAGAAAAGGCAACAGAACGAGGAATGGCAGCCTTCAATGGAGGGATCTTCCTCCAACTGTTGAGAGCCGCCTCACCTCACAGGGCGCAGCAGACGCAGCCCAGGTTACCCCCTGTGTAGCCCCTTTCCTGGGAATCAGATCTGTGCGAAAGCTCAACTCTGGGGAGGGGTTCAAAACCTATTTTGTATACTATCATGTGTATACAATGATTCACGTGTATTGTTTACATCTCGTGCCTGTCGGCTATCAAAACTCTACTTGAAATAGGATCAGCTCGTACAGCTTAGACTTAAAGAAGGGTCATCGTGTGGCCATTACGTTAGTCTTTGGAAACAGTCCCACAGTTTAAAATATTTCTGTCTGCATACATTTTTCTTAACTATACTGACATTGTTGTTTTAGTTTGGGATATTTTGAATATTCGAATACTAATTTTCTTGTGTTGGTTGGCCATCTCAGTAAAGAAAGATATTAGGAGGAATTTTCTGATAACGAGAGATATTAACCCATAGAATTAATTGCCCCTTCCCCAAAACATGGCTGGAGGGCCATCTGTCCTTAGGGTTAACAAATGAAAATTTTAATAAGGTCTATTGTCATAGGTAATTATCAGCCTGCGTGTGCCTATTGATTAAACCACAAAAAAATTGTGTCTGTGTGTGGGGGGTACGCATTCAGGTATACCTTGTTTAATTCTTTGAGATGATGATGTGCATATACAAATTTTTGCAAAGTAAGCATAACAGAAAAAATGCTGATATAAATAGGCTACTGTCACATTTTGCTTTCTCCCCCCCCCCCCGAAGATGTATTAATGAATACTTTTCATTAACACAAGAACACTTAAGGAACAACAAACTGAGCAGTGTTTTTTATTCTGGCTATCTGCATCAAAGGAGTTTTTCTCAAATGTGTGTTGTGATGCGATGTTGCAAGTTCTGCTCCTTATTTACTTTTTTTTAGTGTTGTAAGAATTTGCATCACAATATTTTGATTCAGGTTCCCTCATTTACCTATATTTTGAATAGAATTTAGAAGTAAAAATCAATTTGAAATGTGATGACAGTTTTGGAGGTATCTTTTTTTAGAATTCTAGGTTTCCTCGTGCTTTCCAGTGAATACAGACCCGATTGCTTCAAGAGAATCCACCCAGACTCCTGCATGGCTTAGCGGTGGGGTAAAGCTCGTACTTTGGGACACTTTCTGCATCTTCACGAGATGTTTATTTTCCAGGCAGGTTTGGGTGCAACACTAGAGTGGCTGCTGTGCAACCCTCACACAGGGACAGTGGTCAAAGCCGGCTTGTGCACAGAAGCCGCTGTTCTGCTGCTGGAGATGGTCTCGTCCCTCACAAGGCAGGTGAGTCCTGCTGTCCTGGGGGGTGTTGCAGGATGAAGCCCCACAGCCACAACTGAGGGGGCAACCGAGGGGGTGAAGCGGTCCCAGCAGCTGATTGGTCTCTACATACATCTGAGCTTAGGCTGTTTTGAAAATTTAGTACAAAATTTAGAACAAAATAACAGAAAAGGGGTTAAAAAATATGTCAGTAGACAGACTGTCAGGCTTGAGCTTCTGTCGTGTGGAATACATCTGGATGGAGACACCTTTGTGTAGGACACCAAACCCTGTTTGTCAACTGGGTCTCAGTTACTGTATACGCAGTAGCTTATTTATTTTATTTAACCAAAATTCTTTGCTGCCCATCTTGCCAAAGGTGATCCTAGACATTGAATAAAATGCAGCATAAAACATTGAAACAATAAAGATCGCAAATGTAAAAATTCAGTTAAAATAAAATTAAACAGGATGGAGAGGGAAGGATTAAAATATGCACAACGAGGAGGAAAAGCTTCCAGAAAACAGGATGGAAATAAGGAATGAGAAAAGAAAGACAAATTGCCCTGAAAAGGAAAAAATAAAGAACAGCCAAATAGCTTTACAATTCAACGGCAGGAAGCCTTTCTCAAGTTCTTCAACAGCATCTAAACTTTGCTTTCTCTGCTATTTTTTGTCCATTCCACTCATTTATTTTCTATTCTCTCAGTGAAAGTAAAACCTAAATAATTGGATGGTTGTTTGATGGTGTTTCATGACTAAGTTTTATGTTCTCCTCTAGATTCCAGCAGAGGGAGAGGATTCTTGGCAAACCAGCTTCTTAAAGGACGTCCTGCACTTCATCCACCTGGTGTACCACAGATCCCCTCAGGATCCCCTCTGGTCTAATCCTCACTTCCTCCAAGCCGCAGCCTTGGCTGCCTTCCCCTCTGGGCCATCCCAGGTAGGAAGTGCTGCGGTTTTGTCCAGTTGGCTGATTGGCTGACTGGCTGATTCTGTTCTGTTCAAGAGGCTGGTTCAGCAAGCAAGCAGCCCCATAGAAGTAGATGGAACAGACCAGGAGTTGGTACAGAGGTCTTGAGGAATTGGTATACTTGATTTTATTTTAATTGGATAAACCTAAGATCCAGACAATATTATTATTCTTATGGTTGAGTCTGAAATTTGACATTCAAGGACGATATTCAAATAGTACCAGATGATTAGATGACAGAAAACAAATTGATGCATCATCCCGATTGAACTGAAGTCTTCAGTCAGTGAAAAGGCAAATTAAAGAACTGCTAACTGTCTTGAGAATCAGTTTGAAGGAAAAGTCAGACTATAAAATTAATAAATGATTCCTTCTTTCAACTTTGCTTGATCTAACTCTGCATCTACCCAAGCCTAGGCTGTACTTTTTAGGCAACATATAATTTATCTAGATATTATAAGGCTAATATATGGGAAAATGCTCATTTCTGACCAGCTACGTGTTATGCCTTAACTCTTTCACAGAGACATGAAGTTGAGTGGACTTTTCCCACCTGCATCTAACCACAACATAAACACGCCTTGGCAACATCTCTGTTGTGTCCTCATAAGATGGTTTAATCTTGTGAGTGAGACAGCATGAAGCAATCTCCATCCACATGGAAGTTGTGCTTTCTCCCCCCTAAACCAACAATGTCCCAAAGTGCCTCAAAGTCTGTAAGAGGTTTATGTTAGTCTTGGTCACTTAGTACCCAGGACGGAGTCAGCTGACTGCAGTGACTGGAAACAGAGACGGGGATCAACAGTGGATACCGATAGAGCAAAGTTCAGGCTCGTCTGTTTTTCTGCCCATTCATGGATGGGTGGATGGCACCCCAGCTCAGCAGCAGAGAAAGCCCTGTAGTGATTCCCACAACATCTGTTGGGGGACAGACTCTGCCCAGCAGTGCTCTTCCAGGAAACAAATTCTCCTTCTTCAGAGAGTGAAGGAAGGCGCTAGAGGGCCCAGTCTTGCTGACCCCAGGCAAGGCGATAGGGGCGACTTAGCTGAGGAAGCGGAGTGGCTGAAACCAGGAGCAGAAGCATCCGGCTTCGTTTAATAGCACGAATCTTGGGTACAACACGTCAGTCAAGCCCCTTGAGATTACAGATGCTGTGGCTTACGGGAGAGCAGAGGCCATCTGGAAAAAGTTTTCCCGCTTTCCCTCCAGTCAGGAGTTTAATCAAGTTGGTTGCTCTCCAGCAGCTCTAAAGAGGCAAAGAGGCCAAGTTCTGTTCTTCTTACCTGCCTCTCTTCCTGCCTCGGGGAAGAAAGTTGCCCACGCGTTTGTTTCTTGCTTCTCTCACCCCACAAGCAGCCCTTAATTTAAACCCCAGGATGGGAAATGCCAGGCAGCCACACTAAAAACAACTTATGCTCAAGAATTTCTAAAAGAGAATAGTAGAGTCTTGGAATTATAGTTTGTAGCTGCAACCTGAAAAGTGTAAAGCCACCTCAGAAATCAGGAAACCAGATTATAATTGTTGTTGTTGTTGTTGTTACTATTATTTTATTTTACAAATGATGGGAGGGGGCGGACGAAAAAGGAAAGCATCATCAATGCTGGCCACAACTCAGTAAGGACTCCATTACTCTTGCAATTGCTCTCCACGCGGCCATCCGACTCTGGGAACATTAACCGAGTGAGATGCCGGCAGGTCCTAATGTGCTCTTTGAGCCTGGAAGAAACAATTTTGAGCGAGTCCAAAGTGCCAGTTGGGGAAGGGGGCATCTGGATTTTCCTACAAAGGATGAGCTCATTTAAAGTGGGGCTCCAGATACTCTTGTTGACAAAAGCCATCTTTGTCTCTTTTCCCACCAGAAATGGTTTCAAAGGGCTTTTCATTTATAGCATCCTTTACTTCTGCCGCTGCTCATTTTCCATATGCAATTTCGTCTAACATCATGACTGCTGCTTTATTACATTTTAGCAATCTGTCTTATTTGTGGTTTTATGTTTATATACAGTTGATCTTCCAGTTGCTGATCTATTTTTCACCAGCCTTCCGCATAGGGGATAAAATGTAACTGTGGAAACACAACCCAACCTGCTGGTCCCACGCTGGGATTGCTAATGTTTTCCTGTTTTTCCAAGATGGCGGAGGGAGCGGGTCAGTTGTTGCCTCCTCCCAGGAAAATCATTCTGGCCTTTGTGATTCTTGGTTTCAGCCTCCAGCTAGGAAAGAAGTTTGGGACTTGGTTCAGCGTCTCCTGAGGGGAATAATGCTGCTGGACTGGAGGGACAAAAGGTGGCACCCGCTGGAGTTCATTCTTGAGGTCTGGTGCTTTTGTCTGTCCCTTCAGTTGTGGGGGGGGGGTGAGATGGCGGGAGGAGAGTTGGAAGTCCAGGATTGTCCCTTGCTTGCCACTGACATATTCTGTCCCTTGCTGCTTGCATTGTTACTTAGGAAAACTCTCTAGGTAGGAGAATTTGATAAAACAGAGGGGAAGCAGATGCTTTGGCTCACTTTTGGCATTCCAGAGTTTTTGCAAGCTTACTTTCCTTAGGGATCTTATGATGTACAGGTATGGCTCTCTGTACAGCCTCGTTAGTGAACTATGGAGTATTAGGACCACTGCCAACCTTTTATTGAGGAAAAGGCCTGGCTCTCTGGAAATGGCTGCTTTATTTTTATTGTCTCACTCTTTTAGAACATTCTCTGAAAATATTTTCACTCCAGTGTAACCTTCCTAAGAACTGGGTTTGTTTTTTGTTTGCTTACAACGCTAACCCCGCAGATTCAATCGTTTATATATTATTGCTATACAGGCCTCTCCAGAGAACGCTGCTATTGAGCAAAAGACGTCCTTCCAGACAGAGCTATTGCTTTCCATTATGCAGATTGTCTACAACCTTGGTCAAAATTACAAGGAAGCCTCCGGTTCAACAGGCGAGTATCACTTGCAGTTCAGCCACCTTTCTACCTGAGTCTACCTGAAATGCACAGAACGTACCATGAGGTCAGGTATGGCTGAACTGCAGATCCCAGCATTTTTTTTTTTTTTTTTTGTAAACAGCCATGCTAAGTGTTGGGAGTTGCAATTCAGCTGTATGTTATCTAACCTGAATCCTGACTATCCGGGGAGCCAGTAACAGCAAGACCAGCCAGTGTGCTGGAGGTCATAAATAACATAATAACTTCCTAATCAAAACATTATTTGTAGAAATGAAAGTTTCTTCACTGAAGGCGTACATTTTCCTAATTGCTTAGACTGCTTGATTGCCGAGTATAAGGACTGATAATTACCTATATTTTATTTTATTTATTTATTTGAATTAGCAATATATTTATTAGTAAATGCAGTATACTAACAATAAATATAAAATACAAGGTAATTTTTTTCTCTTTTTTTCCTTCTTAGTTTGTATTTTATATTGTTTGGGGTGGTCTCTTTTCTATTTTTTTTTAAATTGAAGATCGTTTCTGTAATATTAGAAAAATAAAAATTAAGAAGACAAGAGAAAGCCACCGCATAATATTTTGTAGAAAAAAGTACGCAGAGGTTCCATTGTTTTTGATTGCATTTTAGAAGTACATCCTTCTCTTCCGCCCTGCAGGAAGTGGTGATACCAGGAACATTTTGGAATCTGCCAGGCCTTATTTTCTCACAAATGTTTGCTATTTTACTCAGAAGCTGGTAGGCAAACTTCATGAGGGAATGTGTGTCACAGACCCGAGGAAGACCATCCTTTTCATTGCAGAGCACGTGCAATTGGTAAGAGCTTCTTCACTTCTCCCCCCCCCCCCACAAGGGCCCTTCCCAGCCATTTTTAGAGAGCAGCAGATGTAAGACGTGATGGCCGCTGTAAGCTTATTAGGGATGGTTTCCACCCCAGGGATGCTACTTCTGTGACAACAAATAATTACCCTAAATCCTCTTTATAATGGATTTAATTTTCATTGTGAGGGGATTGATAGCTTCAGTGCTCACATTTGCTCAAGCCTGTTGGATCAGGAAAGTAGTTGGATTAGAGAAAATTTTGCACAAGGCAAACGGGCGTTTAAGAATCATGATTGGACGTGCATTTCAGTGCACATTCTCACATGCCACAGATTAAAAATAACAGAAACGAGAAACATCTTCATTTGTATCTGCATGTGACTGAATGTCTGTAAAAACAAGCAAAAACAAATTCCACGAAAAGCAGAAGAATGGACAGCATTTCTCGTTCTGGAATATTTTGTTTCAAATCTGTATGCATAATTGCTTTTAAGTGTCTTAGATCAGAATTATTTTTAAATTTTTCATATTTTTAGGGACGCTTGGGTCTTATCCTTAAATTCAGAGCATTTTGAACCTCTTGACTGTTTTTTAACAGGTAACAAGAAAGCTCTTTCCCCACAAAGAATCAATTTTGAGCAACTTGTACAACTGTTTGAACCACAGCATCTTGTACTATTTATCGGACCCCTTTTCTGGGTCACAAAATCTTCTGGAAGTTCTGCACACTCTTCAGACACAATGGGACATCATCTTTGCAGCACACAATTCTAGCCTGGATTTCATCGCAAGCTTTTTGTATTGCCTGCTGCAGCTGAGATCCATGAGGTGCGGCCGGGCTTTCTTACTCTGGCAGAACTGTTAGATGCAAGAGAGCAGAAATTTAAAGAAACCTTTTTTTCAGAGACGATATGTTTCCTTTAGGGCAGTGTTTCTCAACCTTGACAATTTTAAGGCGTGTGGACTTCAACTCCCAGAATTCCACAGCCAGCATTGCTGGCTGTGGAATTCTGGGAGTTGAAGTCCATACGCCTTAAAATTGTCAAGGTTGAGAAACACTGCTTTAGGGGTATGCATTTCAAGGGTACTCATTGAATAATTCCAATGTGGTCAGTGTTGATTTGATCTTGAAGAAACTCCAGGAGTTTAATGTAGAACACGGGAACAAATGTGTCCAGTGGATGTGTCCTATGGAGTTGCAAGGACTTCCGTAATGGCCTCTTTGTTTCTAGGCATGTTTCCAAGGGAAGCTGCCCACCTTCAAAGCTCCCTCTGTTTACCTGTCATTTCAAATCTGGGGGAAGAACTTCTTTTGATGTTCCCGAACTGAGAAGGGGGATTCCAGCACCACGCATGTGGCACTATGAAGTCCCCATCGTGAGAGAGTAAACTTTCAGTAAACCTGTGATTATTCTTGGTGAATAAGTAGCGTCACCAACTTATTGTCAGATCGTAAGTGTGGCACATTCCTTGGCCCCAGTTGTCTCTTACTTTATTCTGGTTTTGATCCTTGGATAGTTTGCCATTTGCTTGCAAAGTCTTAACAGCTCTATTTAGGCTGTTTTATCGGAAGGCTGCATCCTCCTGTGGCTCAGTAGAAAATTCCAAGAGCTGAAATAAGACAGGTGGCAACGAAGGACGGCCATTTCGCTGTTAAGAAGGACCCAGATGCCGTTTCCCCTTAGATTTGGAAAGGGTTCTTCACCTCGGAAATGACGGCACCCATCCCTCACTGGTGGAACAACAGCACCGCCTCCAACTTAAAGAAGAGGATAAAGATAAAGAAAAAAATGGATCCATAAATGGAATCCATCCTAGGGACATGGAGACAGATACTTCTTTTACCTCGAAATGCTGTGTTTGGCCAGAGTAAATCCCCAAATAGCAGATATCAAAGCAATATGTCTTTTAGTTGTTGTTCTTGGTTATTAGAGTTCTTAAAAATAACCATATATTTTTAGAAGTTTTTTGAAAATAAATATATCAGGATTAAGATGTATTAAATAATCCACAGCCCAACTTCCCCCCCCCAACTCAGATAGTGGTCTTAATGAATCTGCTTGCATTTCAGCCAGAGCTATCCTGAAAGTGGTGAGGCGAAACGGATGCCAGCTTTGGGTTGCCCTGTTTCTCTGGCCCCGAGAAAAGAGGAAGAGAGAACTGATGGTGACCTTCCTGCCCTGGAGGAGGGTAAACATGACGAGATTGGTGTGGAAACGGGGTGTGTGGGGCAGGGGCTGGTCAAGAGAAGGACAGGAGAAGGCCTTTGTGTGCGTCCTGCTTTGCTCTGTACACTCTTTAAAACACGGGTGCATTTTGTAATGTAGATACAGGAACAACTAGCACCGATGATGTTCCCTAGTTTGGGTAGTGAAACGTCTGCAAGAAAACAAGCAAGCTCGGAGGGCACCCCTCAGTTACCCAAATTGTTTATAATTTACTGTATGGCAACAAAATAAGACAATGTTACACGAGATACGTGGGGAGAAATGGACCATTTATTATTTTAGTCATGTCTGCTCTGATTTCTACATACATTCTGGACAAGCAGTATCAAAATCTGGAGTGCTGCGAGTGATTTTGCTTTCGTAAGCGTCCTGGTTTCAATAAATACCAGCAAAGCTGCTGGTCAGGCTCACCTTGGCAGACCCGTGAATCTGGAAGTGATGCGTGGCCCTTTTGTTGATGTGATCCTTCCACACCAAAGCACGTTTGCATTTCATTTATTTCTAGTTCAGCAAGAGATCCAGAGGGCAGCTGAGGAAATCTGGCTCCGGCTTCTTTCTGGGAGAAGAAAAGATTTAGAGGACGCATATAAAATCTCTTTATTTAAAGAGAAAGGCGATGGAGAAGAGACAATGAAGATGGCTGACGTAGCTCCTCTGTGGGAAGAAGCCATGAGGAAGACCTGTCGGGGCTTTCTAGGTCTCTGCCCTTAAATTGCACAGAGTCTTTGACGGACGTGGCGTCACCGCAGGGCTCTTGGCCTTTGGGGGGCGGAGGGGGAGGGTTAGGGTTTGTTAGGAAGCTATTAACCCTGATAGATGTGACCAAGCAAGCGGTGGGACAGGTCCCGTTGTGATCTAAACTTCTGAATCCACCTGGAGGGCTATAACTAGTAACGACAGGTGGGCTCCAGTTATTTACAGGGCAGAGATGTCCTGAGCAGCCCATAGCTGGATGCAGTGGAGATCTTGCTAGACAGCAGAAAGCGTCTTCTAGATTGCTGTTTGGAAAAACAAGCATCAATAAGGTCAGAGGAAATGCAACTGGCGGCCTATGAGGTCAGCTCTCCTCTGGGCCTTGCCAAGCCTGGGCTCTTGGGGAATAACCTGAAGCCCCTGAGGTGCTGCTTTGCAGGGCCTGGCATCCACGGTCAGGAATAGGCGTTCCGGGGCACCTGAAGGGATACAGCATAACAATAGCATTAACTGCACGTGTTGTTCCTTTCCTCTCTGTGGTTCCAGTGTCGGACAAGAAAAACTCCCAGAGCAAAATTCTAGTCAGTGCTTCAAGCAAGATGAGCCCTTTGAACGAGACCTCGACTCCCAGCAGGAACCTAAAACAGGTGATAACACAAAACTGGCATAAACTGGCCTTTCCAAATCCCTGTGGGAACCTCAGGTGCCAAAAAAAAAAAAAAAGGTTGTAAGTAATATCTTGAGCTTCCTGACTTGAAGTCCTAGTCCTGCTCTATTTGATGACAAGCAATGGCCAAATAACCAGGGGACCTTTTTTCCCCAGCAGCGCAAAGTGCAATGAACGGTGGGTGAACAAACTCAGGGCTAGTTTTTTAGCTATTTTTGTTGGCTGAGAAAGAGATTCAGACTAAGTAACTTCCTTCCAGGTGTGATGGGAATACACGTTACTGTTCAGTGCTGACACCAACTATTTGCCTTGGGGTCTGTTTAATTATTTCTTAAAATTAATTTTGATTATTACAACTGATTACACATCAGTGAGCAAAGTAATTGATATTTCTTAATGTATCCCAAGGAACATTTTGTACAACTTGTATTTGCTGTTGAAGGTTAAAGACTGTTATTGGTTTTTCCCTAAATGTGCCCACATCATTAGTTCTTGTGGTAGGAAGGGAGGCCATCTGGAAAAGGACGAGTAGACGCATTATTCAGGCACAAGTGCATGAAATTGGGGTTCCTGCGTCTTCTGTCTTTCTTTTCTAAAAAGGAGAGGCTTGTAATTAAAGGAGAGGCTGAATTACAGGGGAACATTACTCATTTTGTGTTGCTCTTGGTGATGTCAGGAACTGACACTTCAAGATCTGATAGACGCTTCGCTGTAGTGTGACATGCCACCGAGCCTGCAACTCTCGGCTCTCTTTCTGCTGCAGGCAATTATATTTTTCTGTGCTTTTCAAGGAAATGAGTTGTACAGTGGGCTAAATGACTGATTGGAGATCTTTGGGTCTTCCAGATACACAGACAGACAGAAGTATATTCTTTACAGCTCTGGTGCATTCGGGGTGGGGTGGGGTTGTGCACCTTGGAAAGAGAAGAATTCACAGTGCTGGTGGTTTAGATTTCTGCTCCCTCCTAGATTGTTTTAACTGTTTCTCCACTCAGCCTTCTCGCTAAAGGAGGTTGGCAACCGTAAGCAAGCCAGGTACAGAGAGAAGGACAGGAGGAAGAGCTGACCAGATTTCAGAGCCTTTGTAGATCAGTCCTGGCCAAAGCGTCCTTTAGGAAATCAACCTGGCATGCTGCAAGGGGTCTTTGGGGGGGGGGGTGTTGTCATGTGCTGCTTTGCCTCCCCAAACTCAGCCCTCAGCCCCTTTGGAGACAGTCAGGAGAGGAGGCTGATGAGGGTGTCAGGGTGGACATAGGTCAGAGGCTGACCTACTAGGGCGAGGAACTTTATAGGAGCTGAGTGGTAATACAGAACCACTGCTACAAAATCCATGGCCAGGCTTATTGTCTTCTTGCATTTTTATTCAACTAAGCAAGTACCGTTGATCCTATCCTAATTGCCAGAAACATTCCCAAGTAGAGTTGGTGCCTTTTTGCCACCCGTGTCTGTGTTAGGCATCTTCTGGAATAGATCTCAGGGAACCAAGATAGATGCCTGCTTGTGATATAAAGAGGGAAGTCAGCCATAGTACCATAAGATCATGTTAAAAAAGAGATAACTCTTTATTATAATCAACATGTGGATCTTTTAATTAGAAGATTTTGAAAATATCTGACCCCAAAGAATGAACCAGTTTGAATCTGAGGCTGGGCAGATGTTGCCTCACATCTGACTTTCCAACTGGAGAGGCTGGACACAGTCTTGCCCTTGGAGAGGTTGGTCTTCTGCATCAAATTTCTGTTTCTGCTTTCAACTGGAGGGTTTCTTTTTGGCTCTGTCTCTTTCTCACCAAAACATGTGACTGTGCCCTGATCTTTATAGATCTTTATTTATTTATTTATTTATTTATGAGACTTATATACCGCTTTAAGTGCAAGCACTCTCTAAGCGGTGTACACCAGTAAGCAATGTATATATATATTTTACATTGCCCCCAACAATCTGGGTCCTCATTTTACCTACTTCGGAAGGATGGAAGGCTGAGTCAACCTTGAGCCGGTGAGATTTGAACCGCTGACCTGCTGAACACAGTCAGCTAAAGTGGCCTGCAGTACTGCACTCTAACTGCTGCGCCACCTCGGCTCTTCCCTCATGTTGGACCAAAAGCTTCCCTGAAGGGTTTCCTCTCAGAATAAATGCCTTTCCACCGACATGTCTGAATCGGAACTTCTCTCTCCCTACAGTATATGGAAATAATTTGCCACCAGGAGAAATTTTCATAAAGTTTCTTCATTCACTAGTACAACTCTCAACAACGAGCATTTTCTTACAGCTCAAGCACTTAGTTGTTCTCCCAGCTTGCAAATAGAAACATAGACTTCAAAAAGCAAAATGTCCAAATTTAAAAACAAACAGTATTATTTCCCCAAAAGGAAAAGGGGAAATAGTTGTTTTTATAATCCAAGCAGAGGTTCTTGTACATGTAGCTAATCATTTTTTGGTGAATTCCAAAGACATCACAACTTTTAACCCTTTCTTCTGCAAAGATGTTTTTAATATTTAAGTCAATCCCTTTGCTTTTTAACACAATGGCTGTAATTAGGGAAAGGCTGTCTGAATGTCATACTCAGGCAAGCTCCCTTTGCCCACCCAGATAAATGAAAGGAAGTTGAGGCAGCGCAACCCATATTCACCTCTACCTGCAACTCATTTATTCTGTTTGGCTTGGCCAAAATATGATGTCCGTGTCCCCTTGTGTACTTTGTTTCAAAGGAAGCATATAATGTTACTGCGATATATGCAGGGCCCTCCAAGACATGTTTGCTAGAAGTCAATTGTTCTGAGCTCACCAGAACGTCCAGTGGCTGTGCTAGCAGGTCACCAGTCCGGATGTGAGTTTTGCCTGCAATCCTTTTCACAGCTGGGGTTTCATCAGCCTGTGAAGTGCACAATGTCAGGGTCTCTTCAAGTCTCTTATCATAATGCCATGTATATTATTTCGATTTCAAGAGACCAAACAAGCAAATTTATAATTAATTATATTTCTGCTAATCATTTGTGTAACATCTTTATCTTCATAATAGAAAGATAACATCACTGATTATCTAATTAAATTCATTAAGCATCTACCGACAGTGCTCTGTGAAGCTGACATTATGTTCCACTGTCAACAAATGCTTTGATTTCTTAGGAAGTAATTAAAATGTAAATTAGCATGCCATTAAATACACAGGGGGACTTTTGAATCTGATATTCATTTCAGAACTGCTCATGGCAACCCTTTTTTTTCTTTCAGTGCAACCAGAGAATTTGCTTTTAATGATGTATATTAACTTTTTCCCCACTGCAGCATGAATGTCTTTTTTTTGATATCTAGTTCACAGCTAGACTAGAAATGACATTTCTTTAAAACTGCTGATTTGCTGGTAAATCTGGGTGATTTCTGTCGATGCAGGAAGAGCTTTTCTGTCTGCATGGCCAAAACTGAGATCAGATCATAGAGTACCACTAATAACACTAGGGATATTATTGTATTTTCGTTTCTTCATCAAGAGGAGAAAATTTGTTCCTTCTGCTGCAAATCTTGGAAGCCAGAGTACTATACCGGTTGCTTTATTACATCCTGGCACGGATCTTGAAGGCCATGGGTGCTCCATCCAGAAAAGAGCGGGCAGCTGCTTGTCTGGAATAGCAGAGGGTCTCCTACTTGAGCAGGACTAGAAGGTCTCCCAAGTCCCTTCCAACTCTGTTACCCGGTTATTCTTTTTCTTTCTTCCTTTCTTCCTTTTTTCATTCTCTACCTTTAATTTTCTTTATCCCCCCCTTCTTTGATCTCTTTTCTTTTCTATCTGTGCCATCACTCTTTTGGAAGTGCACACATGCACACATACACACACACAAACACACCCTGTTTTTAAATGTCTGGTTTTCCCAGTTTATCAAGGGGACCTTAAAAAGGTTGGTCCATGACAGAAAAGACTGCGAGATTCTCACTTAAAGACTTCCTAGCACAATTTTAAAACTCATTTAAGATTTACTCATCAAATGTGAAGCACAAATGTTTTGTTACAGACATCAGTTTATTAATAATTTTTGTTTTAAATCAGGATTTTACATCATATTTAGAAAAATGCAGGAGAACTGGCCAAGAACTCTATGCAGCTTTGTGCAAGGATCACGTTGAGGTAAGGATCTATAAAGTCTTGTTTTTCCCTGGCAGGAAAAACAAAATAGGGTTGGATGCCTCAAGGGAAGGAGAGGGGATGGTTCTATTGATTGATTGGCTGATTGATTACATTGATCACATACTGCAACCATCAGGAGACTCTGAGAAGTTTACATTAGTAAAAATGGAGAAAGAAAGAAAATAGTAAGATTGAGAAACGAACCATAGTTCTAAAATCATGATGTCCATCCAGTGGAGTTGTTATGCGTCAAATTCCCTTGAATCCTTATTCTCTTTCTGTTTTTTTTTTTTTAAGTAAACATTATCCAAGCAGGGGGTTTCTCTTTATTTTGAGTGTCTTTGTTTCACTTTCACTTTCTTAACTCATGTTTACTCCTTTGGGACTCATGTTTACTCCTTTGGGGATGAAGCAGAACCTTTTGCTGTGCATATTGCCTCCTAACAGCAGATCCTTCTGTTCAAGGTTTCGGCCAATCACTGATCCGGTGATCTATTCCAGATTCATTTGTGCTTCTTTGGCTTTCTTCCCATTCAGATCCCTCTCTGTTACAAAATACCATTTTAATTTTATTTTCCTGCAAAGCTTTGGGGCCCCAAATGTATTAATATCTGCATTTACTTCTCCGTGACGCTCGTATATCAGTGATATAGTAGTAGTCACTACCTGAATTCATTTCTAGCAGGAGATTTGATATTTATCTGCTTAAAATATAGTGAATTGATGGGAGTTATTGCTCTGAAAGCAATTACAGGAAAAAATACTTCATCACTGCTCACTGAGTGAGCTAAGAGGATTTGACTCACAAGATGTCCCATTCTGCCTATGTGACATTTTAGAGCAAAGTACTAAATGCAGCCCTCTTTACTACCTTCAATTTATTTCATTTTGATTGCATTTAAATTAAATCAAGGGTAGTTTATGAGTCCTGATAATCCTTCAAAAGCCCTGTGCCTCCCTTGGTCCCAAAGAAATGATCAGTTCTCGCATAAAGAACTCCACAATAGGTGGAGCTCTGGGGATAGAGCGAGTGTGCAAGTCCCTCCTCAGCTACCGGGGAGAGTTTCGTCTCATCCCAACCTGCCTTCTGTGGAGCATAAGTGGAGGAGGAGGGATACCAGGGCACCACCTGGAGCTTCTGCAGGTAACTGAGTTATTATTATTATTATTATTATTATTCTGCTTTCCTTTTCAAGGCACAGATGCAGCAGCTGGGTAAGAGTAGGAGCAGAGAAGAAGACTTTGCTCTTAGGGATTCTCTCTTTCCTGCAGAGATTGCTGTGCATGCACTCTAAGTCTGCCAAAGCCTGGACTGAGCTTGAAGATCGACTTTTTAGGAAGGGGGGCCCGTGGGGCTCTGCAGTAGCTTCTCCAGTTGCAAGGTGGGTCCTGGATGCCTACGAAGGTCCTGCTCGGATGAGGAAGAGGATCCAGTTCAAAGTCGCCCACGATCCAGCGGAACCACTGCAAGACAAGGTAACCTGCTTTCAGGGCAGGAGACGAGAAAACAGGCTCCAGTCCCCTCTTGCCCAGGGTTGTCTCATCAACCGAGACTTCCCCGAATGACGGATCGCTGAATTACATTAATTGCAGTTGAAAACTTAAAAAAAATTAAATTCTGCCTTACTGTGCCCCTGGTGCCAGCCAGGAAAGGAAAAGAAGAAAAAAAAGAGGCTGCTTTGTGTTATAAAAGAGGCACGCTCAAAGTCTGCAGTTTAGCCCTCTGAGCTGGCAGGCTGGGAGGTTTGCTAGCTGTTGATAAGGCTGAAGAGGTTATTTCAGTTCCTGGCTTGCCATGCAAAGTCCTAGGGTGACACTGGGGGATTTCAGGCCACAAAACCAGAAAACGGGCCAGTGAAGCCGAGCTTGCGATGCAGAGCGATTACGAGCAAGAAAAGAGTGGGAAACAGGATTCCCTCCCGCCGCCGGCTGAGGTGGCGTGGCAGGTGACTCTTAGATAACTGCATGAAGGAAATAAGCTGATGGGCTGGTACAGTGGTTAGAGTGAAGGATTGCAGGCAAACTCTGCCCATAGCCAGGAATTCGATCCTGACCAGCTCAATAGCCGTAGCCATAGCACTTAGATTTATATACAGCCCTCTCCAGCCTGTTGCCCCCCCTCAACAACCTGGGTCCTCATTTTACCCATCTCGGAAGGATGGAAGGCTGAGTCAACCTTGGGCTGGTGAGAATCGAACTGCCAAACTGCTGGCAGACGGCAGTCAGCAGAAGGAGCCTGCAGTCCTGCATTCTAACCACTGCGCCACCACAGTCGATTCAGCCTTCCATCCATTTACCAGCTGGGTAAATGAGGAGCCAGATTGTTGGAGGGGGGAGGGGCAATAGACTGACTCTGTAAGCGGCTTAGAGAGAGGGCTGCAGAAAGGGCTGTGAAAGCGGTGCATAAGTCTACAGTAAGCTGTTGCTTCTGGTTCTAGGCGCCTCCAGGAGTCATTCCCTGTGCAGAAGCGGCCTGGCTCCGTCTTCAGGGCCTTCCCTGCAGCTCAAACCTTTCCTCTTTCCAGGCTCCCCAGACACGGAAGGCGGCCTCCCCTCCAGCTCTTGTGGCAGATCAAGGTAATCTTCCCAGCTGAGGTGCCGTGATGGCACAGAACATGCCGGCCTGACTGCAGGGACCACACAGAGGCCTGGCAGCCTTTGCTAAAGCCAATATTTCCAACCCTAACCCTTCCCGCCGCCTGCTGACGTGCTTTGTAAGAGCAGGCAGCACACGCTTTTTTTAAAAAAAAATCATATCGCGTTCCTAAGCTACAGTATGTGATAAAAGCAAAGATTAGATTTTCAGTTAAAGAACAGAGCGTCTCATAGAAGGATCTTCTTGTTCCACAGTGCTATGGAAAGCTATTAAGGTGCTGCACAGTTTCTGCCTTTTATTTTAACGCAGGTGAACGACCAGCCCTGAGCAGAGAAGCAGAAGCAGGTCGGGATCAGCTGACATTTTTTCCTGCCCTGCATGAACATCTCCATTCGGAGGAGTTCATGGAAGTCTGTGTGGAAAGGAAAATCATCCTCCAGGAATTAGTACAAGATGAAAAGGTACAATCACAGCAAGTCTGGAGCACGTGGGAAGGGCTGACCGGTGCTCTCCCCAAATTTCAGCCGCTTCCACGTTCTTCCTCTCCTGTTGCGAAATGAATGGGCAAGGCCAAAGGGGGGGGAGGCGCCCCCCTTTCCAATCAGGAGGCAAACTCTTCATCAGAAAAGCAGGGCTATTTTCACCCACTCACTACGGCCCCTTTTTGAAGCTTTTTATGGTTAGGATTAATTAATTTCTCAAGTGACTAACAATTATTTTAGTATGAATAAGTCTACATTACGGATGGAAGGGCATTTAGAAGCAAGTGTTGCTCAGTCAATGATTCTTAATTTTTTATTTGTAAAATATTAACAGGGCAGAAAAAGTTAGCAGGGCCACGCAGTTTACATGCATTGCCATCTTCCCTGTTTAAGATTACCTGCCGGCTGTCTGTGGTGATAGTTGACGGACACGTAGCGTTGGAAGGGGCGGTTCTCTTTGGCCGGGACCATTTCTACCTCTGCAAGCATTTTACTCTGTCCCACCTGGGGGATGTTTATTGCACGCGCCACTGCTTGTCCTGGTGAGTGGTTCCCTACCTGAGCGGCACCTGGGGTTAAACGGGCTATTGCTGGTCAAAACATGCCCTGTCTCTCACCTTGCTACCATGTTTCCCGGAGAGATGGCTTTACATCCAGAGAGGGAAAGGAGATGCTGCCCTCCATCCAGACCCCCCCCCCGCGGGTCTCAGACTCCATGGTCCCAAAGGGTTCGGGCTGGCTGAGGCTTTGGAAAAAGGGCTCCTCTTTAGGGGAGCAAAGAAGGTGCTGAGGAAAGAAGCCAAATGGCTTCCTGTTTATAGGGCAGGAGCTGGTCTTATTTTCTGACTCAGATTGACGGGCCTGGAACAAGTTGTCATCTGCAGGTTTTAGGGCAAGGCAGAAGAGGACAACCGCCTTGCTTGCCACTAGCAGAGTCCAATGAATGATGCAATGGTTGTTTAATGCACACTTCCTATGTTTGTTTCTAGCATCAGTGAGCCATTCCTTTACAACTTGTGCCGCTCAACGGAGGCCATGGCTGTGGAGCCCACGTGTTCCTGCCATTCCTACGGTGACATTCGGGAGATCCGGCCAATGCGTTTCCTTCTGCAGGTAAGAACCAGCTGGCTGTGCACCTAGACTTTCCTTTGAGGAGAGGACACCTAAGGAAGACAAACAAAGTCTTGGATAGATACTCAGTAGGTTAGAGTGAAAGAAATCATCAACTATTATATAAATGCACAAACTGTTAAATGCTTCATTGGATGGCAGAAAAAGCCAGGATGATTCTGAAAATATTTGAATGAATTCCATATCTACATTTGACTTGAATGTGCTCTAAATCCTCAACTTGATCAGGGACAGAGCAAGAATAATAGCAACAATAAACCAGTGAAGTTAACCAAGTATAATTTTTTTAGAAAAAAAACTGCCTGGGTTTTGCCAGGTTAAATGAAGTGGTTTCTGATTTTGACATTTCTTCCAAGCCTGAGTCTTCCTGTCAGTGGGATGCTTTAAGCAATCGCAGAACTGGAATTGCATAGATGAGCAAGCTGAACAAAAACAATTGTTCTTCCAGCAGAGCTCTTGGAAACCTCATAAGGTTTTCAGCTTCAGGACAATTGACCGACTGCACGAGCGGCTGTGCTGTGGACCCGGAGCAGGGTTCTGGGTTGGGAGTTCTGAACCTTTCGGCGGGTCCTGCCAGAGGCCATGCTCCAAAAAAACAGCGGCTAAGTCCGGGAAACAATTCTCTAAGTCATTCATATATATACTCTCTAGCTGTATCCTTAAACGTAAAGTTCAGTAGTAGTTTTTGAAGATGCCTGGAGGACAAGCTTTCTGTAGCTGTCTGATCTGCATCCCTGACAATGAATTCTAGGGATAGCAGCATGGAGTTCCCAAGGTCCCTGGATCTAGTCCGGTTGGCTAGCCGATTGCAGCTGAAATCGCCTAGAGAAAGAAGCATTTTTCCCTTTCCCTTGCCAGCAGACCACGCCCCATTTGGTTTGTCTTCACAGGAGGTCGCCCTGGAGATCTTCTTAAACAACGGCTATTCCATGTTCCTTGTATTCCACAACAGCGACAGGAAGAAGGTCTTGACAAGGTACCTTTTGAGCAGCTGTGAAGAAGCTTTGCTTTCTGCCTGGTCCCACAGGGTTTTCTTCAAGAGTTCATTAGAAATCTTACTTTTCCACATACAGTATGCCTAGCTATTTGCGCTGTTTGAGAAACATTTGTTCTGTGCAACAGACCATACGTTACGTGTTGCCGTGTCACCAGCATTTGCACGTTTTCGCATCATTATCAAACATTCTACAGAGGCCCACAGAGTCATCTATTTGTTCCAATTATATGAATGTAACAGGTAGATTTCCAAGACCTTCTTTGTAAACCTGTGTTTCTCTTGTATCTGCAGAATATTAAAACAGACAATCGCTAAGCCCAAACACATTCTGGCCTTAGTCAAGTGGGAATGAGAGTGACAACTTGGCTTCCTGCCTTTGGCAGGCAAAATCGGGGCACGCTGGATGAATTGTTCTTTCTGACCCTGTTAGAGCGATGATAGAACAACCATGAGAAAACCATACGAAAAATCAAGTGGACCTAAGAAATAACTAACTCTTGAAGAAAAGAGCAAAATATAACTATAACTATAACTATATCTATCTATCTATCTATCTATCTATCTATCTATCTATCTATCTATCTATCTATCTATCTATCTATCTTCCCCTCCGTGCATCCCTGGGCAAGCGAGAGAGGTGCCTGTTGGGAGAGCTGAGGATGCTGGCAATTGCTCGGTTCCAAAGTCTCTCCTGGTCACATGACCCAGAGAGGACCCTAGGCAGCTTTGGAGAGTCTCCCAGGCAAGCAGCCCCAGGGAGGCCCCCGGGTGCCCCATAAAAAGCATGAGAGGTAGACAACTCCCGGATGCGGCGGATGAAGGAGGACCCCTTCTGCAGGCTTTCCCCGTCTTGTTTGCTTTTGCGCAGGTGTGGCTGCATATTTGTGTGCTCTTTTTAGAAATAGGATCCCCAAACAAAGTCGTTCCAATCCTGTCGGTGGGGGGTAATTGCTGTATGTCCATCATAAATATGCAAGAATTTTCAGAATGAATTGTCTAAGGCTCTCACCTTCCAGAGGAATAACGCTATTTTTCCCCCTCAGATTTTGTTCAATGAAATCAAAAGGCACCACAGATGAGTCTACTCATAAAAGGTATATTTGCATATCCTAATATAGGACCAATTAAATGTTGTAGTTTTTTGTATTAGCCCTTTCCTGACATTTGCCTTAGAAACACTGAATTTCAGCTTTGGGGGACAGATGGTTCTTTCTCTAGCAATCATTTTTACTGCAGCTGTTAAGTGAGTCACATGATCATTAAGTGAATCTGGCTTCCCCAATTGACTTTGCTTGTTGGAAGCCAGCTGAAAGGTCACAAGTTGTGATCAGGTGACTGCAAGACACAACCGTTGTAAATGTGAGCCAGTTGCCACCTGCCTGAATTGTGATCACGGGGCGCCGGGGATGGGGTGGAGGTAGAGCAACAGTTATAACTTTGAGGACAGGAAAGTCATTTTTTCCCAGGCTGCTGTAACTCTAAATCATTTTTAAATAAACAGTCGTAAGTTGAGGACTACCTGTACACATTCAGGTATAAAGTAAATGGATTTGCATTCTCAGAGGCTAGCATGACGTCAGAGTTCAGATCTTGTTCTTCCACGCTCGTTTACTATTTGGACATATTAACATAACACTTAAATAACAAATGAAGGGATTTCCAGTTAACGGAGGAACAGAATGAGCACGGAGCACATGAAAGTGTTTAAAGAAAGAAGCAAAGCATATTTCTTTCCAAACAAAGAAGATTTCTGCCGTATTGACCTTTAGAGGCTCGTATAGCAGTCCTGCAGAAGACAGAGAACATTAACAGTTTCTGTTGGAGCTGATTACATTTCTCCTTTTTTATTTTTATTTTTTTAGTAAATGCTAAACACAGTATTACAGTAACAGAAATATATGGGTATTCCAAGAAGAAAGTTCAATGAACAGAATTACCACATTTACAGTTTTGTTCATTTCTTAAATCAGCCTTTGATGGACGCAGATACGTCAGGATCATTTACTACATCCCTCTTCTAAATCCTGTAACGCCAGGCATCATTTGCGCTTCAGGCTCTGCCTTAATTTCAGCTATTTTGTGTGCCTCTGACCGGGAAGCCTCTGGATTTAGCTCTCAAGAACAGCTGATTCATGCTGTTTTGTTTTATTCTTAGAAACCTGGGCTTTCGTAGATGTCTCTAGAAACATTTTTTGGATTCAAAGTGTATGGTTCACTTCAGGGTTTTTTCCCCTTCCCTTCCCTTCCCTTCATCTAATCTCATCTAATCTATCAGGTACATAGTCTGCATTTGCTTTCCAACTCAAAACACTTAAACAGAACATAGAAAGTAGGATGCATGTTAAGAAGTAGAAGCATTGTATTAATACTGAAGCCATTTCCCAGGCAAACGTCAGAGGCTTGGAGGACGTAGGGGAGGAAAAGCCTTGGAGAAGCTCAGGAAAAGACCTGGCTGGAGAGGTGGGCTTCTGAAGAGGTGGGCTTCCTGCCAATCTTAACAACTAGCTAGGTTTAAAACTGGAGACCCTAACTAAGCCATTTAGGACTTTCAGGGCTAGTATCTTAAATTAACAGTACAGAGATAATGTGATCCCTGTATTTGCACTAGTTAGCAGACAAATTTGCAAAATTATTGGCTGTAGATTTAATTTATGTTTGCCTCTTAAAATGGTTTTGGGAAACTATATGTTCATCATAGCACAGAGGTTCATTGCTCCTTGAATGACTTATGATAATTACATTCCAATTTTTGCCCTAGGCCCAACATTTTCTTTTGGCCCAGAAACCTCATGTCGAAAGCAGCATCCCTGGTGTGTGAGGAAGGAGTGCCTCATGTGTTTTGGAACTCCTTGGCTGCTCCTTTGAGAGGAAATTCTGTAGGGAAGCAGCTTGGTTTTTATAGAAGACGGTCAAATGTCCTGCATAAATGTGACTCGGGATCATGCATGTCCATATCGATAATCCATGATGTTCTTTTGACTAGTTCTCATATGCACACGAGATAGCACACAAGGACTAAATGCTAGACATCCGAGTGCTGGCACATGGTCGCTTTCAGATAAGAGTTTTGTGGGTACACAATAAACGCTAGGTCTGTGTGAAATGGCTCAACAGAAGCAGAGATTAGGGATGACCTGGATGGAAATATGCTAGAGCCGAGGCAAAAGGGGCTGAAACTTTTTCAAGTCCCGAACATCATGACAACACTTGGAAGCAGCTCCCACAAAGACATGTCGTGAATTCATTGAACTGCAAGGAGGAGAAAAACAGCACAACCAGGTTTTCCACATTCTGTTATTATGGCCAACCTCCAAATGTAGTTTTAGCCTTCTTGTGGAGTTGTTTTCCTGGTCTGGTGTACCTAGGGGGACTGACAATAGGGGCCGCCCAGTATGTGATAGTGGCAGCGTAATCCAAAGACCCTCACAACTGGTAACATAACAAATGTGCAACGTATCTCCATAGCCTGAGTTGCAGAGTCCCCTTCTGCATGCACAGCAAAGTCTTGTGACTCCGGATTGCAAATGATCGAGGCATCCCTTATCCATCTTCATAACCTGAATGCCGTCTGTGGCCCCAGGCTGTAAACCTCTTTTCTTCTGCTTGCAATGATGCATCCTTTGAATTTTCTGAAGGCTTTGTGTCCTGGCCAACGTTGTGTTTAAACGCTAGAGAAGCAACTCATTTTGAAATTCTCAGTGTACTAATTCATCTGACACTCTGAGATACAGAGAAACTGCAAAACTCCATTATGGGTTGAGCTGAGGCATAAAATAGGACAATTTAAAATAGTAATTTCCGTATGCAATTACCAAGGTTGCCAGCATTAACTCTTACAAGCGAGGCAAGAAAAGGAATAGGTCCACACCCAGGAAATTTCAACAATTGATATGGTGTTAAAGGTTCACAATCAAAGGGCTACCAAAATACTGTAAAATTCAAAATGCAGTTAGAGATTTTTTCTTAGGCCAAATATCTAAAGAATTTTGAAAGGAGCCAAAAGAATTGCAATTGTTGTTCGCTAGGTTGAGGTGCAACATGTGATCTGTTGGTAAGAGAGAGACACGCTGGAGCAGGCAGCCTGGCTGCTCTCTAATGATCCTTGGGACCTGACTGGATTTAGCCAGGAGCAAGAATCATCAGAAGAATAGATTTCACCCCTCTGTGATTTTTCTAATTCAGGACCTCAAGCTCCTAAATATTGTTAGTCATGGAGGGGTTAAGGACACGGGGACAACCCTTGGCTCTTCTTCCCAAAATCCAAGTTTTGAACTGGAAAGGGAAACTAGCCTGGTTCTAAAAGGCAAAGCCGCCCCTTCCTTTTGGTGGTAGCATCCTGCCTCTGGCAGCCAATCACCTTGGGACCTCTGAGAAGGAGGAGAGAGCAGGCCTCTAGCCCTGGGCTACCTTGGGGTGCCCCTCTTGTGTCTGGTGGCCAAAGGCCCAGCCCGGCTCTGTTGGGTCAGAAGAGGGGAGGGGAGGCCTTCACCGCTGTGGCACCTATCGGAAGGTCTGCTTCCAGGGGCAAGTGGGAGAGAAGCTGGGGATAGCAGGTTTTAGAGCCTGGTCTCTTGCTGTGGGAATGTGTGCTGGATTGACACAGGTCTGCGAGCATCATAGAAGTCACACGTGACCTAGTGCTGTTTTATTAGTTGGGATCGTTCCTCAGGAAGGGGTGCACAGTTGCTCTGCCCTGCGCTGAGTCGCTCAGGTGGGGATGGGCCTGGCGGCCTCTTCACCTCCACTCGGCTTGATTCTCCTTTGCCAGGGAGTTGGGGGTCATGAGGTTTGAGAAATTTGGCTTTCTGAGGGGGGCAGGCACCGTGTTCTTCAGCTTGTTGAGCTTGTCCCTCTCTTCCTGGCATTTCCTCAGGCAGGGGGGGCAAAGGTCCTTCTCTTCTACCAAATAGAGCGTCTCGAGGCGCTTGATGTTATCAATAAAGATTTCCTCTTCGGTGGGTCCAGGAAAGGGGTTCCTCTTGGCGTTTAGCTTCTTCAGCTTGGGGAGCTTTGCGACGCTGTTCGGGATAAGGGTCAGCAGGTTGTCGAAGACCCCAACCTCCTGCAGCTCCTTTAAAGACCCCAGGGTGGTCGGGAGGTTGTCAATGTGGTTGAGGCCCAGGTTAAGGTTTCGCAGGCTCTTGAGCTGGTTCAGCTCCATGGGCAAGCTGCGGGCCGTCAGCTTGTTGTTGGAGAGGTTGAGGAAAATGAGGTTCTGCAGGTTCCCGATGGTTTCCGGCAGCTTGTCAATCTGGTTGCTGTGCAAGTCCAGCCAGCGCAGGTTCTGGAATTTATCGATTGACTCCGGGATTTTCTTAATCATGTTTCTGCTCAGGTCCAGCTCGTCAATGTCCTCCAGCTTTAGGATGCACCTGGGGAAGGTTGTGATGCCCATCTTGCTCAGGTCAAGACGGCGCTTCCCATCAAAGGTGATCTTGATACAGGTCTTGGCCACCTTCAAGGTGACCTTCTTCCCCTTGGGGGGTTTGGCTCCTCCCTTGGCCATCTCTCTGGCTGGAAACGGGGCCCCTCAGAGGGCATGGAAAGGTATCCCGGTGATGTCTGCAGGTGTCGCTCGAGGCTGGACCTTAGAAGCCTGCAAAGAGACGGGCAGCAGAGTTAACCAGGAGAGGGACCCTTCCTCCAGAGCCCGCCTGCCCAGCCTGCAGGGCTGCTGAGGCCGGTTGCCGAGGGGCGCTGGGGAGACAGAGAACAGAAAGGCACCTGTTCCCAGGTAGGAGGGAGCTGCTAGAATGGGTTGAGCATCAAGTTCTTGATAACTGGTAATGCTTTGCTTCTCATGGTAATACTTTTTCTATAAATACGTGTTCTGTCATCTCTACGTGTTCTGATATCTTTACAAATGTGTGCATTGTTTTACTCACAGCTAGGTAAGCTTAGGGAAGCAAATATCATCTATAAAGTGACTTTCAAATCTATCTTACTACTAGGTTCACGAACACTTTGAAAATATTATATTACGCATGGATATATATATATATATATATATATATATATATATATATATATATTAGTATTTCAAAGAGTTGCTGCAGTGATCTTAATCGGAAAGTGTTTATCATTTCAAAGCCTGTCATAGAAGTAGAATAATATTATTTTATTCTAAGGAGTCTTAAATGAAACAAAAGCTGTACAGCTACCAGCACAGCCTGCGGTTTCAACTGTTATTGTTTGGAACTGGTGCAGTTTGGACCTGTAATTGGCTTGGAATTACAACTGCTGTACCAGCTCAGGGAGTAAGATTTATAGTTTATAAGGCCATCCATGGCTGGCTAAAGCAAAGGAAGGCAATTTGTACCTAACAATATATGAATTAAAGTCATATTCAGATAATTACTTTTCATGACACTAATTTACACATGATAGACAAACCTCTGGCATACTTTAATATTAGATGTTTTCATGTTTCATCTCTGTGGTTAAAGCAGCAAGTAGAACTGCCACAAATCCATGGATTATAGCCAGCCAATAAAAGGATTTTTTTATTGTAGACAAAAGGAGCTAGCCAGTATGTTTATAACAAACATTTGAGGAAAGCATTATATGCTCCTTTCATTAGACAAATTCAGTGGGAGCATGTACATTTTCAACAGAAAGGAAAAATACTGGTTCACGTAGGTGTCAACCATGATTTATTTTGCATTCCTCTTCTATACACTACAGCAATTCAGGGCTGATTTTTGCTCCCTGTAGCGAAGTAAGGAGGTACATCTATAATTAAAGGATTTATAGGGGAAGGGAATCCTATGTCACTGATTGTGGATCTGCTACTTGGGGAGCAGAGATAGAAGCTTGTAAGGCTTTCAAGGGTTCTTTTTTAGAAATATACTAGATCTATTTCAGTGTTTATGCGATAGTTTTGTTGTGTCAAAATAAGGTTTACTTCAAGTTGAGACTTGAATCCTAGTGACATCATCACAAATTATGCTATTTTCTTAAAACATTATCAAAGTGGTTTGCCATTGGCGCCTTCTGCTTAGGCCTGGCGTCCCTAGCCCACCTGAGGTCCTTTTGCCGAGCGCGTTCCCTCTCGCCCGGCTCCCAGTCCTGGGGAGGGACGGGGAGAGAGGGAGACGGCTCGGCCTGCGCCAAGGGCGGAAGGCCAGGTTTTCCTCCTCAGGTGGCCCAAAGTCCCCAGCCTGATCTCTGGCGGAGGACAAGTTAAACTTCTACCAGATTTTATAGTCCCACAAACCGGGATACATCTTGCCCTTAGCCTGCGTAGCCTTGTTACTTGAGGCAAATTGCCAGGCTTGGAGAGTTGGAGACCGCAGCAAGTGTGGCTACCCCCCCCCCCAGGCTCTGCTGCCTGAGATCGAGGAGGGTGGGATCCTCTTACTGCTTCTGGCTGATTCCTTGCCTCTCGCCCCTCGCGGCAGCGGCCAAGGCAGCAGCGTCAGCGTCACTCACCTGGCCCTCCAGGGTCCCCCAGCCTGCCCTGGGCATTTGCGCCTGGGGAGGCCACCAGAAGGGTGCATTTGTGAGGTCGTTGGCCACTGCTGGCAGCCATCACAGCCGCCTCACAACACATCATCTATTTTAGGGCATTTATCTCCTCTGCCTGCTTTGGTCAGAGCTCCCCTGGACCAGTCTGCCCATCCCTGACGAAGCAGTCAGGTGGAGAATGCTTGGGGGGGGGAGGGCTGCCCTAATCCTAACACCTCCCCCCCACAGCCCCCCCACACTTCTTACCTGGGACTCCGCCAGCTTCCCGCATGATGACCCACCTGGCTTGGTGTTACAATGGCCACCATGACTGCCGGGATTTCTGTTGCTAAGCGATGCGGTTGTGTGACGTCCTGCTTTACGACTGCATTGCTTAGCGATCCCCATTGCTATCATAAGGCAAGGACTCCCTGTACAGCCCCTCCTCGCTTGCTCTCCTGACAACTGCCCCCCCCCCCAGGCTGCTCTCCGCCTTTACCCATTAAATGCCAGGGTGCCTCACGCTTGGTCTTCCGCGTGGCTCCTCTGGACAGATGGGTCTCTCAAGGGGTCCGAGGGCAGAACAGCGTTCAAGAAGCAGCTGCCCTCCCTCTCCCCCCCCCCCAGAGAAGAGGCCAGGAAACAAGCAGGGATAAGCTGGTGGCTGTTTTGGAAGAGCCGAGGTTCCGGTTGGCTTATCCCCAGCTGATCCAAACTCTCCACATTTAATTGTGAGGAGTCAAATCACTGTTTTCATAAATGATTGTTTGTAAAAGAATGTAGATTTGTTTAGAACACACTTCTCCATTAGAAGGCTTCTGTTACAAGCGCTTCAGGCTTTTCGACTGCTCATTAATCATGGCAACTCCAGGGACCTCCAGCAAGATCAGAGAGAAACGATGGCTTTGCGTTTGTCTCAATAACCCACCTGAACAATACATGTGTGGCTGTGGCTGTCTGGGCCAGGTTCCTCCCTTCGCCCTAAAATTCATTCAGAGGAAAAAAGAGGTGGGGGAAGGCATTCCTGGGTCACATTCTGGCCAGGCTGGCCTTGACTTTACTGAGGAGTGTTTTAGAAGTATTAGAAAAAGTTTTTACAAAAGCCCCACTTCATCTGAAATCTGCTTTGATCTTTTAATTGCTCACTTTTTAATCAAAATTAATAAGATGGACAAAGAGAGTAAGAATTAGTCTAACTCCTGCCCTAATGCTGCTTAGTGTGTTTGTGCAGATGTAGATTAACAGGCAACCACCAGGAGGAATGGATGTGTGCCAGGAGCTCTATGGCTGGGGTCAAAATAATCAAGATGGTTTGCAAAAGTAAGATTTCTGAATTAGGCAATAAAATATTTGGAAATTCTCCTTTGTAGACTTAGTGCTCATTTAAATGCTAGCATCACTAAGCCAGCACGCAGCAGGTACTTCCCCTCAAAGTCACAGATGAACTGTCAGAATCCTAAATTCTGGAAAACTTTGTCTCCGGGAGCTGGCAAATTTTTCCTTTCTTCTATGCAATCACTTTTGAACCGGACTGGCCAAGAAAGGATTCAGAGGGACTTTCCTCGGGGTCACAGCTGTCAGCATAACTTCCACAATACATGGCACTTACTAAGGGTTGCAGCCCGTTTGGAGCGCCCGTCTAACCCAGGAATGATGTAAGCCTTAAAGATTTCCTTGCAGTCTCACCAGATTGCTGAATTTCCTAGATTGTGGTATAGCTGAGTAGCGCTTTAATAGCTTTACTTCCAAATAACAGGCTGCTTTAAATTAAATGGAGCCTGCAGTTCCCAATCCGGACTTGTAAATTCTACTGTACACAGAATCAACAAGAAAACAAGTATTTATTTATTTATTTTTAAGAAATTGCCTGGCCTCATGCTTTCTTGGCAAACCCATTCTTCCAAGACTCTTCTCTGATTAATGGAGAATTTCTTTCCCAGTGTTTGGAGATAAATCTTTGAACTGCATGGAAAACTCTATTTGATATTTGCTGGCCCACAAATTCTAAAACTGAAACAGCAATTTAAAACAACTGCCGATTTGCTTGCTTCAAGAGAGGGCGACTTACCCTGTTCCTGTGATATTGTTGTCAGCTGTTGTGATGCCGCCTGTGAAACTCGGTATCTAAGCGACAGGAAATCCCAAGCCCTTGGAGATCACACAACACGGGCCTCGTGCCAACGGGCAAGTTCAAAGGCAGCCCAGCCAGGCCAGCTCCACTTCCCGGGCCTGGGAAACCAGCCCCGCCCTATTAACAGAAAGCGCCTTCAGCCTCCCAACAGCCCCAGCCAGGGGCTCCTGACTGGCGAACGGGGGCTGGAACCATGTCAGAAGCTCCACCATGTCTGTGAGATCATTGCGGCGTTCTAGTCCCAGTGACACCCAGCAGAAGAGAGAGCGTCTTCTCCGATGGAGAGACAAGACATGTCTGAATGCTGCAGCAAGCATGTTCATTTGCATTCCATGCAAGCAGAGAGTCACCGCAGGGCCCCTGGCTCAGGACGGGGGGGGAAGGGGCAATGAAGTCATTTCCACCGATGGCTGTTTGGACCCTTCCGGTGAGGAGGAGCCCCCACCCTCTGGAAAAGTGGTGGCCTGTTTCAGGCCAGGTCACGCTGCTGAGTCTCATTTATCTCGGGGTCAGCTGTGGTTCTGAAATCCTTTCCACACACACACCATTGCCAAGCCCAAATCCCCCCACTTCTTCCTCATTTGTACTGCATACATTTATAGGTTGTCCTCACTTAATGACCACAGTTAGGGCTGGCAATTCTGGGGCTAAGAGACATGGCCATTAAGCACAGCATCTGGTGGTTGCAGTGGTCTTACAATTGTGATAGAGGAGAATACTGGCAGCTCAGGGTCGAACTGAGGGTCCTGGGTGCTCTCTGAGCCGGGCGGTTTTCTCACAGACGTTTCATGGCCCAAACTAGGCAGCAGCATCAGTGCTGCTAAGGGAGCAGCGCCTGCTCTCATGTTGATGTTTAAACTGACCAAGTTTGCGTTCAGATTTCAGACACAAATTGAATCAGGTCTTCTTTGAATCTCAGATCTCCAATGAAATCAAGGTTGATTTGCACAAATCGGGTTTTGTTCCCATTCTGTGGTCATTAGAAAAGGAAATGTGAGTGATACAATGTTATTTATTTATTTTTTGCAGAAAACAATCTGGGGGAAAAAAGTCCATGCTGTTGAAGTGGCAGGTAAAATCTTTTTTTGGTGTTGTTCCACTGAAATCAATCCATTCACCATCAATTAATTTTTTAAGATTATTTTCTTCACAGTTGAGTATTCTATACATACCAAACTTTACAAAAAGTGCTTCACTCTCTACGTCGGAGCCAGGAAGGATAGTGCTATTTCTCTATAAGCCATAGAGTTAAGAATTTTATATGCAAAGCCAGGAAGCAAGCATGGGAGCCCCCTGAGTCTGGCGAAGGGTTGGAGGAGGAGGAGGGGGAGGTGGGGGTGGTGAGAGTGGGTCCTAAAATCTTTGCTTGCTTGTTAGAAACTGCCTTTCTCGTTCTTGATCTGTCCGGCCCAATCCAGGGTGCTGCCTACTTGTGTGTCAGAAGTCCTGAGCTACGTTAGAATGAAAGGGCTGTCTCTCCTGGGCTTGAAGCTACTTCCAGCACCCATGAAATTTGGCCAAAGGGATATCCCAAAAATCTTTGTCCCAAACAAAGTTTTCCTCGTTGGATTACAGTCCTGAGCCAATTTGTTTCTAATTAGTCATGTTCAGATGAAACACTTCCCAGTTGTTAATATCTGCACTCCTCTACCGCGGCTTGGGATAATTTGGAATGATAGAAAGGCCTATTTTTGCGGGCTCATTCAGAAGCAGCTGCTATCATAGCGGGAGACTTCCATGCTTGGTTGAATTCAAACGGCACTAGAGGTTGTATGTATGGTTTGATAGTATATCACTGGATAATGAGTGCTGGGGATAATGATGCTTTGGGTTGGAATCAAAAGATGGATTTTGTGATATATGGGAGGGCTATGCTTTGCCCAAATAGCAAATAGACAAATGGAGACTTACATAGCCATTGATTATATTGTAGTCCAATGTAGGCTGTTTGTTCAGTCGATGGGTTTAGAGTCCGATGCCGTCTTCAAGCTCCTAACTTGAACTTTCAAATGGTTGATTCGAATCCAGCTTTATCTGGTAGAAAAAGGTGATCCAAGGCTTTGGTGGTCTTCCGTGGCCAGGAGATGAGTTTGGTTTTTTACTAGATTCAGGTTTCACCAAGTTAAGTTAGCAACGATATCAGCCGATTAATCAGAAATAGCTGATGAGCAATTTTGGATACTAATTCGAACCCCTTGTGACCTTGTGTCAAGGCCATATTTGGAAATGTTGTAGGTGTCCCAACTCTAAGTGTGGGTTTAATCTTGAATGCAGGAAGACAAAAAAGCCCCAGCTACAAGGCACTCAAGGGAGGGGGGGAGAACTGCCCCGTTCCTCCACAAACATTGAGCCGGCAGAAAATGCAATATAAAGCCTTCATTAGAAAGAAAAAAATGAACACCCTGAGAGAGAATTGATAGCAAATAATATCAGCTGTTACGTTGAAAAATTCTGCCAATTTTTGGCATTAGATTAGAAGGGGGTTTGTTACACACAACCGACTGTGGAATTTTAGCAGACGTTTGGGAGAAATATTTGAGTTCTATCTTTGCAGCAGCTTCTGGAAATCAGCTCCTAATCAAACCTATTACCAGAATGGGCCCCTCTCGCATCCTCATTTAAGCCTATTTCCCAACTGGAGCCAGGAGAACCGTTGGAAGCTCATACAGAATTGCGAGCGCCTCTTCTTACAGCCCTCTTTCACCATATGGACCATGCAGCATATGCTCAAAGACTGAGGCCTGTGATATATATATATATGTTTTCTGAGGTTTTCGCGGGTGTTTGTATGTAGGTCTTTGGTTGTTCAGGTTTTCTCCTGCGTAAAATTGGAAGTGTCTTGGCGACGTTTCGATGAAGTCCCATTCGTCATCTTCAGGCTGGTGTTTTCAGCTTCGTGCTTCGAACAGCGTCGAAACGTCGCCAAGACACTTCCAATTTTACGCGGGAGAAAACCCGAACAACCAAAGACCTACATACAAATACCCGCGAAAATCTCAGAAAACAAATATATATATATATATGTATATATATATATATATATATATATATATATGTATATATATATATATATATATATATATATATATATATATATATATATATATATATATATATATATATTCAATAATGATGGTGAAAATGCGACTCCCGGGCATAATTATAAATGGAATGAATAAAGCGCGTTCACCAGGAGAGTTTAAAGTTAAAATACTTTAATTAAAGTATTTTACTATATTAAAAGGTTGCCAAGCTTTCGTTGGGAAAACTCCCCATCTTCAGGGCTGAGAGACCGTTTCTAACAAGGTGATTCAAACGGGTTCCATAGACGTCTGCACGTGCTCGAGAGAACGACAGAAGAAATCTTTACTCCGTTCCCCCTCCCACCTATCAGCTGTTCAGCAGGGAATGCTAGCACAGTCTAGGAACCACGTGCAGACGTCTATGGAACCCGTTTGAATCACCTTGTTAGAAACGGTCTCTCAGCCCTGAAGATGTTGGGGAGTTTTCCCAACGAAAGCTTGGCAACCTTTTAATATAGTAAAATACTTTAATTAAAGTATTTTAACTTTAAACTGTCCTGGTGAATGCGCTTTATTCATTCCATATATATATATATATATATATATATATATATATAGTAAAATACTTTAATGTATATATTAATATATATATATAGTAAAATACTTTAATATATATATATATATAGTAAAATACTTTAATTAATGTATTTTAACTTTAAACTCTCCTGGTGAATGCGCTTTATTCATTCCATTTATATATATATATATATATATATATATATATATATATATATATATATAATTAAGATATATATATATATTGGTTTTCTGAGTTTCGCGGTAATTGTATGTAGGTCTTTGGTTGTTCTGGTTTTCTCCCACGTAAAATTGGAAGTGTCTTGGCGACGTTTCGACGAAGTCCCATTCGTCATCTTCAGGCTGGTGCTTTCAGCTTCGTGCCTCGAGCAGCAATGTGTGGTCTTAGCTGTTTCTTCCTTTTAACTGCCAGTGGGGGTATGAACTGATGGGGTGGGAGCTTGGCTGTGTTCTGATTGGGTGGAGGTGTGTTCTGATTGGTTAGGGGCGTGGCTGTGCTCTGATTGGCTGGGGGGTTGGCTGTGCTCTGATTGGCTGGGGGAGTGTTCTGTTTGGTTGTGCTCAGGTTAGTCTGAGTTGCAGAGGGATTCAAGATTTTTGGCTGCCCTGCCATTCCTTGGCTTCGCGTTCATGGTCGTGCTTCCTCTTCATGGAGGGTGTCAGTTTGCTTCATGTATGGATTGGGGGGGTTTAAAGTGGCTAATGATGCAGCTGTGGTCTGGCTTCTGGTTTGTGGTCGGGCCTCATAGTCAGTGTGGCTTTGGGTTTGTTTTTTGCGTGGATGTTTGGTGGTGACATCCTGTGTGGTTTTTGTGAGTGTGGGTCTGGTATCATTTTTTTGTGTTAGGGAGTCGTTTGTCAATAAGGGCGGGTTTCCAAATGGCTGGTAGGCGGGAGGTATCATCTCGCTTGTTCATGCTGTGTGGGCGTTTTTCTATCTCGATGGCTTCTCTGATTATTCTGTTATTAAAATGTTCACTTTTGGCAATGGTTCTGGTATTTTTAAAGTCAATTCCATGTCCTGTAGCTTTAAGGTGTTGGACCAGGGAAGATGTTGGTTCCTCTTTTTTGATTGAGTTCTTATGTTCTTCAATGCGTGCACTTATTCTTCTGTTGGTTTGTCCGATGTATTTGGTGGGACAAGTGGTGCATGGGATTTCGTATACTCCTTGATTTTCTAATTCAATTTTATCTTTGGGGTTTCTAATGATGGTGGATATTTTTCTGTTTGTGCAGAATGCTGTTTTGATGTTGTGTTTATGGAGGATCTTACTGATTCTGTCTGTGATGCCTTTTATGTATGGGAGGATGGCTTTGCCGTTTTCTTGTTCTTTGTCTTGGATTTTAGTGGGGTTTTCTTTTTGGATTAGGTTTGTAATCTTATTTCTATGGAATCCATTGGATGTTAGTACATTGGTGAGAGTGTGTAGTTCGGGTTTTAGGTGTTGTTCGTCAGCTAAGCGTTTTGTTCTGGAGATGAGTGTCTTGGCTACAGAGTTGATCTGTGCTGGGTGGTGGTGTGATAGAGCGTGCAGATAGCGGTTTGTGTGTGTTTTCTTCTGGTAGATGGTGTGTCCTAGGGAGCCATTGGATTTCTTGTAGACTAAGACATCCAGGAAGGGAAGTTGGTTGTTAGCTTCTGTTTCCATGGTGAACTGTATTTTGGGGTGTAGGCTGTTGAGGTGTGTGAGGAAGTTGTCCAGTTTTTCTTTCCCATGTGGCCAGATTATGAAGGTGTCGTCTACATATCTGAGCCAGAGGTTGGGTTTGTGATCCGATTTTTCTAGAGCTTGGGTTTCAAAGTGTTCCATGTAGAGGTTGGCAATGACAGGTGAGAGGGGTGATCCCATGGGTGCTCCTTCTGTTTGTTTGTATTTTTGTCCATT